GAGAAGTGAAACTGACGAAACCACTCCTTAAATGATTTTGTAAGCTGCCCCGAGTAAACACTATCTAGGGGGGTGGGGTATACATCGGATAAATAAAACAAAATAAAATAAAATAAATATCTCACTTACCTTGAAAGCCCTTTTAAGGTCACTGTAAATTACTCCCAACTTGACAACACATATTGTTATGTGTATGGACATGTTTGTTGGACGTGCTATCAAGTCAGAACCAACTGACCATAACCCTACAAAGTTAAGTGAGATATATAAGAAGTGCTTTTACTAGTTCCGCCTTACAGTGAATTTCCATGGCAAATCAGGGATTCAAACCTAGGTCTCCTGAGTCCTAGTCCTTCATTCTGTCCATTACACTAGACTGGGTATCAGCCAATGCATAGCTGTATTTAATGATTTGCTTCTATGCTATCTTTTTGGCAACCTTGTTATTATGACCTTTTTTCACAGATGATTCCAGTTTGACTTCTCAGTCCTATTGCATTTGGAAAGCTTGAGGTCTCACTGTTAGCCAAATGGAGAATTATGAGATTAAAACTGTGGGAAGGGGTGTTCCTATCTCCTTTCTTGCTGAGAGCTATCTGCTGGTGGAACATACTTAATTCTAGAATTTATTTCCCACGAAAAACTGAAGAGCACACTAGCAGAAGTCTTCAGGCTCTGCTTTTTAAGGCTTAAATAGCAACCCCCTCTGTTTCGTGAGGGGGTACGGTTTTCTTACATATCCCCAACAAATGAGTGGGTGAGTCAGTGGAGAGGAAGGTATTTTTCAGATTTGCTGGTAACTGGAGGGCCTCCGAGTCACAAGATGGAGGGACTAAAAGGGAGGGGCGTAGCTGGTGGCCAATTTCCATATTAATTCATTTATATTATTATTCTTGTAAAGACTACTTCAATTCATTTTTGTTAACTGAACAATTGGTTGAACTAAATATGAATTTTGGTTCTTTCAACTGAAACTGCCCCCTTGTATGGAGAACTGACGTAGTTTGCCTTTCTACAGTGAACTTGAGGTTTCATGTTGCTTCGTGTTGTTAAATGCCATGGCTTTCAAAAACAGACTTTCCAGCATTGATGTCTATATGATTCTATATTCAAAAACCAGAGGAACTCCCAAAGAGAAACAACATTCTGTTGAAAACAAAAAAATATGGATCAATCTATACACTTCAAAGGAAAAATCAGCCTCCCCTCACTGAACATATGGGCAACTTTTGTACCCTTACTTCCACTCCAAATAAATAGAAGAGTTTTTTGATCCCTGAAAGAAGGGGGGTCCCCTCTGCTTTGCCTAAAACTAAGCTCTTTACATAGAAAGCACCTTCCCTTGACCAAATAAGAATCTAGTGGGGTGTACATGTTATTATCAAAGCCAATGTTTCATTTCAGTTCCAGTATCACTACTAATGTGACCAGTGGGGTTAAGCAGATATGTTTAAGGGTGTATCAATGTGTCCTTGTCTTGGGTGAGGGAGGTTGATCTGTGGTTGCAGTGTCTTTCTTTTGGGCAGGGTATTGGGTCATCCAAGGTTTTGCAGCCAAGGTTTCTGATCTTTGGGGATTTTTGATTTCTACTGTAGATCCTCTGCCAAGCCATGTTTATGGTTTTCCCAGTTGCCATGCCCCATGGTGCCACATTATGCAGAGGTCCATAGCTGATACTGAATATTTGGCAGCACCATTTGGAGACGCGACCTTTGAAATATAATAATAAGAATTTGCTCTGTAATGTCCATGGGAAATGGTTCTAGTTTATGTGCATTCCATACTACCATAAGCATCCAAAGTTTAGTTTTTTCCCCCTGAAAATAGTTCCTTTAGGTTGTTAAGAGATCTAGATTTTTTTTGGTTTTTGAGAGATGCTTTACAACTTTTTCAATAAATAGACCTACAACCAGATTGAAACCATCCTATCTGTTAATTATCAGATCACCTATAAACATATCATGGAACATTTGAATATACTATTTCTCTGCTAAGAATGAAGTCAGTCTGCTAATTGTTGTATGTAACAATGGGGGATAGTAGAGGTCTCATTTAGCTGAAATGGTAGGAAATTGTATTTTAGTAGGACGATGTGCTTGTATTATCCAAGATACAAGCTGTCTCCTGCAAAAAGAGCAATGTAGTTTGTTTCCATTCACAATGGTAGTCACCTACCATTCTTCTTTAAATTAAATTGCCACATCCCTTAAACTTAGTCCTGGTGGAACAGTTGTACCACAGATGATGACATTTGTTGCTATAAGATTTAGTTAAAAAACCAACAGCGCACTGCAGCAGTATGAAGTCCCACCTAAGTTCCGAGAAAACAAACAACAACAACCCCTCATCAAAGAAAAGGAAAACAATTTTTCAGTTTTAACTGTATGTCATTAATTCATCCCAATTCCCAGAGATAGGAATAGGTTTTTATTATGGTTTGTGACTTCTGATAATACTCAGCTATATCTTTCCCCATCCTTTTTTCTCCCCTTCTTGTTGTTGTTGTTGTTGTTCTTGTTGTTGTTCTTGTTGTTGTTGTTGTTGTTGTTGTTGTTGTTGTTGTTGTTGTTGTTGTTGGCCTAAAGTGAAGCAAAATCCACAACACTGCCTTAAGTCCAAAATAAGAGAACAGAAACTATCAAGCATGATGATAGTGGTTAGGTCATTCACTGGAAATATTAGCATTTGGCATTACTGAAGTATGTCTCCTAACATTTCATTCTATATTTATGTTATTTCAAACAAATTCAACCTTACTCAGTCTGTTATCTTACCACAGGTGTGGAGTTCTCACAAACACTGTCAATTAACACAGTCACTGGGATATACAGTCTAAAACATCTGGAGGGCACCACTTGCCAAAGTCAAGTTGACCTTCTATAGAAAGCCCTTGTGGTTCATTCTGATATTTGCTAATACAGTACAAAGCTCCACAGAAGTGGTAATTAGACTCCTATGATGGCTCAAACAGGGACATAGACAGCTGTCTTTAGGGTCAGACTATTTGTCCATCTTGCTCAGTACGTATTATCTAACTGGCAATATAATCACTCTCTCAGGTTGCACAATGAAGATCACTGATTTTTATTTATTTATTTATCTTTCCCTGGAAATGGCAACCTGTGATCTTCTGTACGTGAAGCACTTTCTCCACCATTAAGCTATGTTACCACTCCCTGGTAAATGAGCTTTAAAGGACCACAGACATGCACACACTGTTTTCTCAAGCACATGCCACAGGTTCTACCTGCCTTCCTGGTTTGCAACAAAATGTAATTTGCCTTTTGTCAGAAACTACAAACTGTGGTTTGTCCTTGCTTTGCAAAGCAAGACCAGCCTGTAGTTTCTAATCTAGTATTGCATGCCAACCATCGAACCACAGGGAGGCAGGGTGGCAATGATGGCATACTGGAAGAATGAGAAGGAGGAGGAAGGTTGCAAATCCAATGGCTCTTTATGACTGATTCTTATAGCCTCAGAACTGGGCCCAGTCCAAATGGGGGGTGCACTACCCTGAAATAGTGAGGTTAGGCACCCCCTGCTTGAAATATGAGTTGATACTGCATAGCTCAGTTATACTCTAGATTTTATCTACATCAGCTTACTGTTAAGTTAGAACTTTGTAATGACTGAAAAGCTAGCCCTTAATAGCCCTTAATTTCACAAATCCACCTCAACATGTCACACTGAAAGCATCAGAGACAATGGACAAAATCCTGTTGCTTAGTGCAGTAAATCACACTACAGTAGGCCCACTGAATCAGAAGGGATTGTCCTCCATACATTCCGTTGATTCAACTGTGCCCACTCTAGTTGCGAGGTTACTTTAGCACAACTAGAAGAGGTCCATTTGAATCAATTGTACTCAAGGAAGAGTTGACACGCCAAATCTCCATTGGTTCAATCAGCTTACTCTAGTGAAATTTTGTATGCTAAAGAACAGAATTTTGGCTGATATTTTGTAACTATGTGATCATCACACTGTTATTACCGACTGATCTCTAGGTAGCCAGCAGTGTCTCTGGTAATAGTAGAAGCCCTTTCTAGAGATCTCTTGATCCCCAGTAGCTTACAAATTGCTGCCCTATATTTCTTCGAGACAAGG